GGGTGAGAATATACCTGCTAGGTGTCTTTGTATACATTCAATAAGAGCTCAGAGAACCAAAAGAGTTCCATGGTACCTTTAAGTGACTGTTATTGTATTTTCTGTCTTTGTCTTTGTAGTGGCTGGGTCATCTGTAACACAGCAGTAACAGTTAACAGCTAAGCTTGCCTTGTAACAATAAAATAGTAACTGTTTAAGCTTTAACCTGACTCCTCCTGTTGCTGTAACAGAACTAAACACAATCAAAAGAACCACAGCCTGTCAGGGGTAAACGCAGTAAGAGCTGAGCGTTGAGTCGTGCCACCTCCACGGGGCAGACTCTTGGGGCACCCGTCAGCCTCCCTGGCTGTCCGCTGCGAAGGGACTTTTGTCCCAGCAGTCGACATCTCGGGTGTAACGAGCTCTCTCTGCACCACCTTGGGGCACCCATCAGCCTCCCTAGCTGCCTGCTGTGAAGGGACTCTGTCCTAGCTGTCAAAGACTCAGGTGTATAGGGCTCACAGACCACTGCTGATTTTCCGGAAAAACTTGCCAGTTGTCTACACTGGCCGCTTGAATTTCCAGAAAAGCAATGATGATCTCATGTAAGATTGTCAGTGCTTTTCCAGAAATACTATGCTGCTCCCGTTCGGGCAAAAGTCTTTTTCCGAAAGACTTTTGCGCAAAAGGGCCAGTGTAGACAGCACAGTAGTGTTTTCCGCAAAAAAGCCCTGATCACGAAAATGGCGTTTGGGGCTTTTTTGTGGAAAAGCGCATCTAGATTGGCCACGGACACTTTTCCGCAAAAAGTGCTTTTGAGTGTCCTGCCAATCTAGACGCGTTTGTCTGAAAATGCTTTTAACGGAAAACGTTTCCGTTAAAAGCATTTTTCATAAAATCATGCCAGTGTAGACGTAGCCACAGGGTTTGGAGAGCAGCAGCGTGTGGGGGTGGGGTTAAGTCCCCTTCTGCTGTTAGCCAGGTCCTCTCTAGGCCTCCCTCCCGCATCACTGCCCCAGCAGCTCAGCAATCTGTGCTCATAGCTAACTGGGGCTGCCTGGGATCCCTCGCTCTGGTAGCCACCTCAAGGGTGGATTTATTGAAGGGGGGGGGGGGAACCAGCTCATGAGTCTGACCTGGGATGAGTGTTGGAATAAGGATGCTGCACACATACCCAGGATCCCGACTCATCCCCACTGCTCCCTGTGACTCACTTGCTCCCACTCCCACCTGTAGATGAACAAGGCCCAAGGACTCAGCGGCTGATCGCAGTCTGGCTTCCTCCTCAAACCTTGTTGGGCACAAACTAGACATGGATTCTGCCTCCATTGTCATAGCCAGAGAGCAGCATTTAGCCCTCCCCTCTCCTCCTGGATCGATATCATGTGATCCCTCTGCCCTCAGCAAAGATACAGCAAGGTTAGAACCAGCTCCCTACTGGCATCCCCAGCAGGGATCAATGGAGCATGGATTTAATCAGTTCTTAAACAAGCAGTTGGGAAATGTGGCTGGAGGTAGGGGGCAGTGACAAAACTGCTAGCAGCAGCCTCCCCCCCAAACTCCTCACTAGTGACTGTATCAGAGGGCAGCAGAGGGCTGACTGCCATTCCCACAGTCCATCCTGCCTGCCCCCTTTGTCCTCCCTGGAAGTTCTGTAGAGTCAAAATTAGCTGTTCCAGAGTCAAAGTTCCACAGGGGAGCAGGAAATGGAGGGGAGCATTTACTGATGAGCTGCACAAGTACCAGGGCTGGGGAAAAACAGCCTCTCACCCCTGCCAGAGTGAGGCCGAAGACTGACGAAAAGGGGAAGGGGGATTTTTTGGGGTGGGAGGAGAGGTAGTTGTGCTTTGTGCACAGAGAGGTGAGCCATGGCTTCTGGACATGCAGGACGTAGGCTCTGGGATGGGGAAATCTCAGCTGGGTGCATAGGAGCACTGGCGTTGCAACTCACGTTGTCACAGCCTGAGCCTTGTGCTGAAGCACCAGTGATGCCTAGATTCATCGACATTAGTGATGTAGCATTCAGCCTCCCTTCCTGAGCCTGGAGCATGTAACATTGACAGGCCTCGTGCTGCTACCAATGGCAGGGGTCCAGTCTCCCATCTTTCCATAGCGCCAGGGCCTCGTGCTGCCTGGGGCTTTTCATGGGGCAATGCAGCACAGAGGGGTGGGTGCAAAGCATGTCAGTGGCACAGGCTTTGTGCACATGAGGCTGTACTGAGCCAAAGGGTTAAAAAGCAGCGGAGCAAGGAGGTGGGGGGAGAGGTGGACTAATTGAGGGGATTTGCATGACCCTGTGCTAGAAAGCCCACGAAGAGGGGAGTGACTCAGACAGGGTCCCTGCGGCCTCCCCCATGCTCAGGTAGGGAGCTGGTCACTGAGATATGCCGTGTGCAAGGCTCTTGAAAGTCACCCCAAGGCTACGTCTAGACTGGCCCCTTCTCCAGAAGAGGCATGCAAAGCAGGCAAGTCAGAATAGGGAAATCCGCGGGGGATTTAAATAGCCCCCGCGGGATTTAAATAAACATGGCCACCGCTTTTTTTCCGGCTTGGGGAAAAG